GGCAGACTGCCCGTTTGTCTTTGATTTAGCTGATGCTCGCCGCAGCAGCTACGGCACCTCTTCGCTGCTGCAGCTGTTTGCTGCTCTGCTGCAGCGGTATGGTGCTGCTGCTGTTGAGGCTGTCTTCTCTCTTGTTGCTGTTCCTCTTAGATTCACACATTATATACAATGTCATGTTCTAGGCAGACACAGAATACACCACCAGCAGCAGCAGCAGCAGCAGCAGCAGCAGCAGGAGAGGGAGAGGGAGGATGAGGATAGAGGGGAGTGTGGATACGCAGCAGCAAATTGCTGCTGCGGTGCATGCAGCAGTCGTTGCTGCTGCAGCAGCAGCACAAACAACAGCAGCAACAGCAACAGCAACAGCAGCAGCAGCAGCAGCAGCAGCAGCAGCAATGAGGATCCGTGGTTACCTGTTATAAAGGAGCAGAGAGCAGCAGCAGTCATTCCCTGCTGCTGCCACTGCATGCACCCTGCTGCTCATCCTGCTGCAGCAGCAACCTGCGGCTGCGTAGGTGACCTCCCTCCCCCCTTTCCTGCTGCTCTCAGGCGGCTGCTGCCTCCTCCTCGTGCTGCTGCTGCTGCTGCTGCTGCAGCAGCAGCAGCAGCAGCAGCAGACACAGAAGAAGAAGATGCTCATGATGACGATCTACACAACTGCTGCAACACAAACGAATACCAGCAGCAGCAGCAGCAGCAACAGCAGCAGCAGCAGCAGCATTCTGGTGCAACAAGTACTTTTGAAAATCGAAACAGCAGCAGCAGCAGCAACAGCAACAGCAACAGCAACAGCTGCTGCTGCTGCAGCTGTGTGTGTGGTCATCCTTCCCGCATCAGCACCTGCTGCTGCCGCCTTCGCCGCCGCCGCCGCCGCAGCAGCAGCAGCAGCAGCAGCAGCAGGATGGGCTTGTGCTGCAGCAGCAGCCCTGTATTGTTTGGTTGCCGGGACGTTGCTCGTCGTTCTTATACAGTTTATGATTGTTTTATTTCTGCTGCTGGCGAGGGAAATGCTGCTGCTTTCTTTGCTGCTGACACCCCGCTTGCATGCATGCGTTTAACAGCAACAACAGAAGCAACCTTCCGCAGCAAGACACCGCAGCACGCAGCAGCAGCAGCAGCAGCAGCAGCAGCAGCAGCAGCGAACAGCAGCAGCAGCAGCAATGGGAGTAGCAGCAGCAATAGCAGCAGCAGCAGCAGCAGTGGGAGTAGTGGTAATAACTGCAGCAGCAGCAGCAGCAGCAGCAGCAGCAGTATAC